AATCATATACATAAAAAAGAAAAAAATTGTCTATATAGGAAACTTTAGAATATACAAACTACCAGTTCTTACTGATTTGGTGGTTTTATTCTTTGTACTTTTTTTCTTTTTCAAAAGCCTCATATTTAGAAATAATTGGCGATTCAAAGTTACAAAATACTTGAATTTTACATTCTTGTAGCACAGAATTCTTGTAGCTGTGTCCTTTTATCATGTGGTATAGAGTTGGGTGACCCCTGCCACAGTCAGGCTACAGAACTCCTCCATCGCCACATACTGCCTCCTACTGTCTTCTTACCCTGCTGCCTACTGTCACTTGTCCCTGGTACCACTACTCTTTGTTTTAAAAACCTGTAATTATGTTGCTGATTTATACCTGCTAACATCCTATTAAGGGATTTTATTTTTATAGTAATGAAGAGTATCTGTCTTTAATCTATTTATTTGACACTCTTGTTTTGAGAATTAGGATAGTACACTTTGATTTGAGAAGTGTCGTGAGCCACGACTCTGTCCAGCAGAGCCGAGGAAAGACGACACAGACACCAAGGTGAGGTTCAAGCTTCTTTTTCTCTTCCTTCCTTTATTCCCTCTTATTCTCTCTCATATTCTCTCTCTTCATTATCTCACCCACTTCTCACACCTTTGTTGTTCTCCTACATCTCTCTCCTATTTCTCTCTCACCCACTTCAGCTCTTCATATATCGTTTCCAACAGCCCTCTCCCCAGCCAGGACCAATCAGGACACACACACGTGCAGCGGGCAGGCAGAGTGCAGCTCATTGGCCACATAGCAAGATCATCAGGCAGGCAGCACCTTTTCGGGCTCACCATGCTTCAGGGAGTTGGAGTAAGCAAGCGGGAATCACGAGCCTTGGCAATCAGCCAAGAGTTGGAGTAAACAGCACGAGGTTTGGCAGCCAGCCAGGGCGCCATCTGGCTGACTCAGCTGTGCTCGCTTCCCACAAGGGTGATTAGTGAATAGCAACAAGCAGAGAAGGAGGGGCCACACAGACCCTATACTTTACACAGAATACCAAAAAGAAAGGAAAAAAAGAAAATTTCATAGAAAGGAACAAAGGTAACAGATGATTTTTATCAGAAATTATCCAAGTCAGAACATAACAGAGTAATAGCATCAAGGAATAAAGGAAGAAAAATACTGTTAATCCAAAATTCTAGAAAAATACTCCTTTCAGATAACCACGGTTGAAATTTTTCAAAACTAACAGATGTGAATTAATGTAGTAATAAAGTTCTCCCAGGTAGAATAAACACCCAAAGACTACAGTGAAAACGACAAACATGTAGGTCAATATAAAAGGTATTGTTGGGGCTGGAGAGATGGCTCAGCAGTTAAAAACACTGATTGTTCTTGCAGAAGACCCGGGTTCAAATCCCAGCACCCACTTGGCAGCTAACAACTGTCCGTAACTCCAGTTCCAGGAAATCCGAAAGCCTCTTCTGTCTTCCACGGGCATTGCACAACACGGGTGCACTTACCCACATGTAGGCAATACATGCATACACATAAAATAAAAATAATAAAATATTTAAAAGGTATTGTGTTCTTATCTCTAATATCGTTTAAAGACAACTGAGAATTAAAAAAAAGAAAAATTATCAAAACCAAAAGTTGGTTTTTGAAGAGACTACAGAAATTGGCAATATTTACATTGACTGATCGATGAAGAAACTCAACCAGCAGTTATGTGCCTGTAATTCCAGCACTCAGTAGCTGAGAAGGAGCTCCAGGCCAGTCTGGGCTACAGAATGACACCTTTTCTCAAAGGAGAAAAAAAAAGACAACGAAGAAACATTCATATCACTAAGCAGCAAGATGAAGAAGGGAAGGCAGGATGACTTTAAAGAACTGAAAGGAATCATAAGATTAGGAACTATATGTCGACAGACCAGCTAAAATAGACAAACACCTAGAAGCACCAATCTCACAAATCTGACTGAAAAATGATAATCTAAATAGACCTCTAGTAAGAAAAACGATAGAATTAGCTGCTTTAAAACTTTCAACAAAACCTTCCAAGAAAAAAATGCCACTTGCTGGTTTCACTAAGTAAGTTCTATCAAGCATTTAAAAGAACAATTAACACCAATCTCTCACAAATTCTTCCACAGAAGATGAGAGAATGCCCCCAAGGATAAGACCAGCATCACCTTAGCACTAAAACCTGATGAACCATCACAAGCAAAGAAACTATGGACCAATGTCTTGTAAACATGAATCCAAAAATCTTCAACAAAACACTAGTAAATCAAACCCTGTAATATACTTTTTGAGAGTATACATACCTTGATTAAATAGGATCTAACCCAACAATGTAAGGATGGTTTAATGAATGAAATTAGTCATTGTAATGAACCACAGCAGTATAAAGGCGTGCACGATCATTTCAACAGAAGATGAAAAGCATTTCCCAAATGCAGCAGCCCTGATGATAAAAATAAAACACCCAATAAAGTTGGAATAGGAATTTCTTTAGCCCTTTGTATGGCAGCTATGAAAATCTGTAGCTGATATTGTTATTAATCATAACGGGCTGTTTTCCCCAAAGATCAGGAACAAAACCATGATGCTCCTTCCTACTTGTGCTCTATGTACCATTTTATAGGGCAGTTAAGTAGGGAATGAAATCAAAGGCCCTCAGGTTAGAAAGGGAGAAGTAAAATTATATGTATTTATATATGACATTACCTTACACATAGAAAATCCTAAGGAATATACCAAAAAAAGGTTTGAATTACTAAATTAACTGATTAATTTTGCAGGATTAAAAAAAAGTCAACATATCAAAATAAGCTTTACTCCGACAGAGTGACAAAGAGCAACAATTAAATTTTAAAAACTTCCATTTAAAATAGCACTCAAAAGAAAAATTAAATAAATAATGTAACCAAAAACTGTAAAATATACACTCTGAAAAACTATAAAATATTGTTCAAAAATTAAAGATGATGTAAATAAATAAAAGGCTTTCATGTTTATTAATCAGAAGACAAAAAAATTTTTTTAATGCTTAGGATTGAACCTAGGACTTGAGATACCTAGAGAGCATGCTCTACCACTGAGCTTCAACCCACATCCAGAAGAGGACACTGTTTAACATTCATTCTGCAGCTATGTAAAGCTTCGGGAATTTGTACCACTCCTTGCACAGGGACAGGCTAATCTGCGTATTACTCTCAGTTCACTCTATGTGCTGCCTCATTCAGCAAAGTCAGAAGACAGCACTTCACTAAATGAGTCACAGATTCAGTTTATTCTTTATTAAATCCCAGCTAACTTCTTTTGAGACAATGACAAGCTGATCTTAAAGTTCACATTTTAAAAAGCAATGTGAGCTGCAGAGATGGCTCAGTGGTGAAGAGCATTTGGTGGTCTTGCAGAGGACCAGAGTTTGGTTCACAGTACTCACATCAGGCAGCTGATAACTGCCTCTAACTCCAGTTCTAGGGAATCCAACACTCTCTTCTGGCCTCCAGGGCCACCTGCATACATGTTCTCTCTCTCTCTCTCTCTCTCTCTCTCTCTCTCTCTCTCTCTCTCACACACACACACACACACACACACACACTCACACACACACACACACACACACCTGTACTTAAGATTTTTGTAAGAAAGCAAAAGTTCTATACTAGAAGAACAAAACTGGAGAACTCATATTTCCTAACTTCAAAAGCAACAGAGCTACACTCATCAAAACAGTGTGGCATTGACATAAGAATAAACACAGGCCAGTGGAGTAAAATTTACAGCCCAGTCTAGACCAATATAACTTTTTATTTTATTCTAAAAATGCATCCTCATATTTACAGATAAATGTACCTTTCACCCCTCATCAAAGAAGCTTTTTTTTCAACAGATGGAGACTATTAGTTACAAAACTGATCAAACATAGAAAATAAGCATCTCTGAGATGCTTAAACCTAATTGACACATCTTCAGTGCAACCACTACACATAGGATGAATGCATCTCTTACCTCTTACCAGAGAAGTTTCCTTATGTATCAGATGGCAATTAACACACAAACTCACAACTGTCCAATGTGCAGAGAACAAGAGGCCAGAGAGTGCGTATCCCTGGATAGGACACCTGTTTCAAACCACTGCCTCCCAAGGCTTAGGGATCAGAGAAGGTGGAATGGCTGACTATAAGAGCCAGAAGGGGTGGATGACCACAAAGAAACAGTTTTCCACACAGTTGGTCAGTTACTCATATGAACTCACAGCAATGGTGACAGTATGCACAAGGCTCAAAACCAGATAAAATCCCAGCCTAGACATGGGGAAGTGGGTAAGAAATCCCAACCCAACCTAAACAACTTTTGGCAACTGATGGCTGCTGAGAAGGGGAAGTATCTTTCTTACAGGGATGGGACTCTTGGTGAGTCTAGTAGATGGACCCACACTGAAGGACATTTTAGGGACACAAATCAGACTCTATAGGCCATATTACATATATAACAGGCCTATACATATTAAATTGGGTGGGGGGGCAGTGGAGGTAGCAGTACAAATAGGAGAGGGGATCTAAATACCATCAAACTATGTTGTATGAAAATCACAAAAATTAAAAAAAAAAAATTAAGGCCCACAGATAAACCACCACATTAATAGAAGACCAATACATCTGTAATTTAACAGAAATCCTAGCAAGCTATTTTTTCAGCAATTCTGTTTTATATACATTTAATGAATACAAAATATTGCCTTAAAACAAAAAAGTAAATCTTTGTTATAAACTACAAAAATCAAGTAAGTTCCTTTTAAAGAGGTTTAGATGTAGCATAACAATCTTAATATGCATCAATTTAAATTTAAATTTTATTTAAATTTTAAATTACTTTCCATAAAAGTATTTAATTATTTTGTAGTACTGAAGATCAGGCCCAGTGCCGCCCTCACGTCTGACAAGCACTCTACCACCACATTATATCCCCAGGCCAATATTTAGTATTTACTAAAATGTGATCCTACCTGAAAAACTTCCTCTTCTGAGATGGAAGAACATCGTGTTCTCTTAAAGCAGAGTGATATGAAATCTTTCCCCTATACCTAGTATCACAATGTGAAAATTACTTGCTATAAACAAGTAGATAAATTCATGTGAAAAACTATTTCTAATTCTCTGTAAAAACACTGCTGTGAAAAATGTGAATTTTATTGTTCATCTTCAGTATTACCAAATGTTACTGATTACAAATTACCATTTATACTGTATAGCATAAATTTCTTTAAAACATAATAGTAGGGGTGAGTGAGATGGCTCAGTAAGTAAAGGCAATTGCCACCAGGCCTGACAACTGAGTTCAATCTCCAAGACTCACAAGGTGGAAGGACAGCACCAACTCCCACAGGTTGTCCTCTGAGCCCCACATGTGTATACTCCAAGGACAGACAGATACACACACACACATACACACACACACACACACACACACACACACACACACACAATGAACAAATAAAATGTAACTAAATTTTTTGAAAAAATAAAAGGGGGCTAGAAAGATGGTTTAGTGGTTAAGAACACTGGCTGCTCTTGCAGAGGATCCAGGTTTGGTTCCCAGCATCCACAGGGCAGCTAGCAACCGTCCATTACTCAAAGGAATCCAATACCCTCTTCTAAGCTCCGTGGGCATTACACAACGCAGGTGCACTTATACATGCAGGCAATACACTCATACACATAAAATAAAAATAATAAAATATTTTTAAAATAAAACAAAAATGAATGACTAAACGCAGATATTATCTAAGATTATAAAATTGCCACATTAAGTAAGTTGTGATAAAGAAAAGATAGTAGCTATACTTTCAATTCTTGTTTTTAGGGTTCTCTTTAAATACTAATACTTTTTTTTTTTTTTTTTTGAGTTTTTTTTTTTTTTTTTTTTTTTTTTGAGATAGTCTCCATGCAGCCCCAGATGGCCTGGAACTCAATATGTAGACCAGGACAGCCTTGATTTCAGATATGTGCCTGCCTCTGCCTCCTGAGTGCTGGGATTAAAGGTGTGTGACACTACTAGCTGAAAAACATTTTTAAGCGACTACTTTCTAAAGATATTTTAAGGAGGGAGACTTCCTGTGGTAAAAAGGAGAAATATGAGCATTTAAGCAAAACAGAACATATGGCAAAATAAACATCTGAATCACGCATGGTGGCAAGCCTGTAATCCCAGCATTCAGGAATCTAAAGGAGAAATAATGTCATGAGTTTGAGTCCAGCCTGAGCTACCTAATGAGTACTAGGATATCCTGTGCTACAATGTGAGACCCTGTCTCCAACGAGCGAAAAACAAAAGGAAGGGAAGGAGGGAAGGAGGGAGGGAAGGACTTTTGATAAGGATTTTATTTAACACTGGGAGTGGTGGCAACCCAACAGTAGAGTTTAAGGCCCAGCTAGGCTAAATAGCAAGGATATAACTGGCCTTTAAAATAAAACAAGAAAGAAAGATTACATTTGATGCCTACTTACAGCACAAATAGCCAGGTGTGGTGGCGCATGCCTTTGATCCCAGCACTTGGGAGGCAGAGGCAGGCAGATCTCTGTGAGTTCAAGGTCAGTCTGGTCTGCATAGTGAGAAACAGGGAAACCCTGCCTCAAAAGGACCGAAAAAAAAAAAAAAAGGAAAGTATCAATTAAAAGAGATGTAAGATACTATGTATGGATCTTACTAGGATTTGTATCTGTAAAATAAAAAGTAAAAAGAACTTATAAGACAATGAAGAACATGTGAACAGGGTAATTGAAATTAAGGAATTAATATGTTTTATAATTTTTTTTTTCTTTGTTGAGACAGGGTCCCACTAAGAGGCCCTAGCTGACCTGGAACTCAGTATGTAGATGAGGCTGCCCTCCATCTCACATCTCACAGGTACCTGCCTCTGCCTCCCAAGTACTGGTACTAAAGCTGTGTGCCATCACACCCAGCTACAGATAATTTTTTTATTATGGATTCTTATGGATGGTTTTAGCTTTATGATTTAAAAAAAAAAGCAGGATCAGGGGGATGATTCTTATCTTTTAAAGAAATCAGCCCTAAGCAGTTGTGGAAAAACGATGTTACCTGCTTAAATCAACCCAACAGTGGGAGAGGGATGACAGAAGAAATGAAACAGGCCACGTGATGAACAAATGTTAAAGCTGAGTGATGAACGCATAAGGTCCAGTCCATTATTTTTATATATGGTAACATTTTCTGTGACAAAAAGTTTTCTGGGGGCAAGACAGATGATTTTGTGGTTAAGAGCACTTGCTACTCTTGCAGACAACCAACCTGTCTCAAAAAAAAGGACCAAATAAAAAATGAACTTACTTCCTTAAACATTTCTTGAACAACTATTTATCAATACAAAAACTTTCTTTACCTGAGTTTCTTCTCTAAGGAAAAACTGTTTCCAACAACTGTGCTAAATAAACAGAAATTAAGTTTTTTAAATGGATGATGAAGTAAATTTAAGGCAAAAGAGTATTAAAAAACAAATAAAGCAAAGTATACCAATATACTAGGAAAAAGCTCATGGTGGGGAGCACCAAAACACTTAGATGATAGGTGCCATAGGACCTGCAGTCACTATGGGAAGAGTGAAAGCCCTGTGCTTCCATTCACTGTGTTAAGTTAGTTTAGCTCTTTCTCGGTTCTACTTCCTAAACCTATGCTATCACATATTCCCATTCTTAGAAAAGAATCCTGGACTTGTATGCCTCTACATGGTTGAGCAGAATAAACCACAGTGGCCTCTAGGCATGACCTAGAAGTGTGATAAAGTTTTAGTGAGAGTTATGTGTTAGCACCCAGATAAGTCTTAAAAGACAAAGTGCACACTCTTTGTCTCTCTCTTCACTTGAGACAGGCTGATGCAAGGGAGAACTGGAACTCTACCAGCCATCTTGGGAATAAAGTCCTGTCTGTTTAAACAATTGTATGCTTGTTTTCTATAACTTATCCTTGCAATACAAAACCATGGGCATATATATCTTGAGATTATGCAATCACTCAACAATAAGAGACTGAAGCATAAAATACTAGAAAAAACATTCTAATAAAAACCACATAGTATTCCTACCACTTTTCTCTTAACTTCTAAGAACAAAAGAAAAAGGGAGATTCATGCTTATTTTTTGATCTTTGTCTTCATTTACCGACAAGGGGCAGTTAGCCTGCTTCACACAGACAGATTAATTCTGTACATTCATTCACTCTCATTCTTTCATTCAGCAAATATGTATCAAGCCACTACTCTGAATACATACCAAGATGCCTGAATAAGATACCTTAACCCGTGGCACATGAACTAAGTTTTAAATAAAGCTAACATTCTATGTCAGGCATGGTGTCCCATGCCTTTAAGTCCAGCACTTGGGAGGCAGAGGCTGGTAGATCTGTGAGTTCAAGGCCAGCCTGGTCTATATAGTGAGTTCCAGGTCAGCTAGGGCTACAGGGAGACAGTATCTCAAAAAGACCAAAAAAAGTCAATGGGAAAATCAGAGAGCTTAGCAGCTTGGCACTTCCACTGAAGAACCTTTCCACCATCAAATACATAGACCACCTGTAACTGAGCTCTTCCATTAGAAGGAAGGCCCTAAAAATAAAACCAGAACAACTTAATATTTGTTGCAACCCCATCAAATATTTCTTAGAACCTTTGTGAAGAGAGTGTTTTATCCATGTTTTAATCCCCTAGGAAGGGAAAAACAACATCTTGCTCTTTGATGTTCCACAGCTTGAAACAGTTTCATTTTGAAAATATTTTATTATTTTTACTTTTTCTTGTGTATGAGTGTATTGCCCACATGTATGTAAAGTGTATTCATGTCATGCAATGCTCATGGAGGTCAAAAGAGGGCATCAGATCACCTGCAACTGGAGTTTCGAATGGTTGTTAACCACCATGTGGGTACTGGGAACCAAACCTGAGTCCTCTGCAAAAGCAGTGAGTGCTCTTAACTACTGAGTCATCTCTCCAGCCCCAAAACTTATTTTAGAATAAGGTTGAACATAGAAATGACTAAGACCAAGTGGGTTTTGATGAGGAATAAGCACAGAGATATTCCAACCACATAAATTACTGATCAATCAATCAAAAAAAAAAAAAAACCTGAAAATTTTGTTGTCTACATAACAGAGGAAGTCAGATTATGAAAAGGCCTAAGTAAAAGAGGTTTTTGAGTCTGGGTCTCTTGTAGCCCAGGCTTGCCTTGAGCTCATTATGTAGTTGAGGATGATCTTGAACTTCTGCTCTTTCACCTCCCAAGTACTGAAATTATAGGCTATGTGTGTGATGGAGATTGAATCCAGGGCCTAGCACATGGTAGGCAAGAACTCAATCACTGAGTCATACTCCAAGCTCTAACAAATTTCTAAATCTGTCCAAACACTAAGTGATTTATATTTCATATCCACTGACAAAAATTAATATTGGGGAACAAGTGATTGTAGATAGGGGCATTAACACTTATAAGCAAAAACGATAAATGGCCTGCTAAATGGTCTCAGTATGACAGCCAATAGAGCTGCATTTCAAGTCTGAAGGACTAACAACCCAAGAGAATAAACCTGAAGAGTACAGAAGAAACGTCACTTAAGGACACCCAAAAGCAGAAGAAGAAATCACCTAAGGGCAGACGAACAAGTCATAAACCACCAATACTTTCCTTATGCGATGACATATACTGACAAATGACTTGGACAATAACAGTTTCTGTTATTCAGCTCTTTATCTGCAGATTTAATTGATCTCTACAGATCAAAAAGGTTACTATATGCCTAACTTTCCACGAAACAGGTGACAAATATTTCATGGGATATGAATCTGTTGAACGGGGTATTTCACAAAGTGATTTATGTCAACGGGAGGCCAGAATAACTAAATCAAAGTGTGAATATATAAACTAAAATTCAGTCATGGCACAAGCAGCATATATGCCTAAATTACACACAATTTAGGAAGAGGAAAATGTCAAACATATTATCAATAGCATATATTCATGATTAAAGTATAATATACAAGTTAAAACTATCATGCTTTCAACATATGTAATACAGTGAAGCGTATTAATTTATAGGATTAAAAAATCTAATGGGATATCCTGCCTATGCACACACAATTCTCAGAGGATTCAATTTGGTTATCAAGTATATCGAGATTTAATTGTGTCAATAGGCCTTTTGCACCCCCAAGTAATAACAAAACCAGTAATCATTATAACCTTATTGAGTGCTTTTGATAAAATAGAATTGGCAACTGAATTGAAAAGCCCACTTTTCAAATCAGAAGTCATAAAACCTGGTGAACTATCACTTTTGTTCAAACTCAATGGAGCTAAAGATCAAAGACTACTGTCTTTTTTTCCTCTGAAAATGGGACAGACACTAAGTTAATTTAATATAAGTAACAAAAATTAACCATAAGTGGCACAGAATAATCTCAGATAATAGTTCTTAGATCTATTTCAGGGAACCTAAGAATACCCTGAAAAATTGTAGAATATTCTGTCCTTTTATCAGATTATTTTAAATTTTTTTAAAATTCGTGTGTGTGTGTGTGTGTGTGTGTGTGTGTGTGTGTGTGTGGTGTGGGTTACATGTGTGCAGGTGCTGGAGGGGGGCAGAAGGAGGTGTCATATCCCCAGGAGCTGGAGTTACAGGCAGCCTGATATAGGTTCTGCAATCTGAACCCACATCCTCTGGAAAAGCAGCAAATGCTCTTAACCTCTGAGTCATCTCTCCAGCTCCTCATATGCAGATTATTTGAAAGGGTGCAAGACCTAAAGATTGAGTTAGTAGACATGGGAAGTGTGCTGATCTTACTATTTCACAAGGCCTTGTTATTCCACAGCAAACACTTGAACAGTCATTTCCTTAGTTACAGTCGATGCTCCTCTAGTCAAAACAGTTTCCCAAAACCCAAAGGTGATACACGAAGCCATCAACTCAAGAAGGACTTTCAGAAAACTCCATCAGATTTTCTTTTACTGAAGTCACGACCACAGGGAAATCATGAGACAGTTTCGGGATCAGAGAAAAGAGAATGACATATACTTTGCCAGACATTCTTCATAAACCTCTTCAAAGGCCATTCAAAGACAAAAAAAACTGAACACAGACGCTCAGATATCCCTCTCAGAACCTTAAGGGTGAAATCCAAAATGCCACTCCCACACAGGTTCCTCCCAATTTCGTTTAGGCAAAACTAAGGCAAACACTTGGGGAGGAGACTCACTGCCAAAAAAAATGAGGAGTGGGGCTTGTCAGACCTGTCAGATGCAGTTGCAGGAAATCAAAGAGCCTGTCCCTTATAGGCCCTGGATCTTAGAAACGCAGCCTTGGCTGCGTTGGTGCTGGTATGCGAAAGCAACTCAGGAGGAGAGGTGGTGGCAAAGGTAAGACCTGATCTCCCGGTGTGGAGCTACGTGGCACTAAGCAAATAGTGGCTGGTCTCCCTCACCCTCTGCTTCCGCCCCAACCATTTTCCCCCGTGGTTACCAGTTGCTCCAGATGCCGTAGAGTAGTTCCACAAAAGCGAAAGAGAGATTCAGGCACAGGAAGAAAAACAGGTTCCGGGACGTCTTGTCCGACAGTATGGACCTGGACAAGACAGTGAAAGAGGCAGTAGTCAAGGGGAGGTCGGGAGCCCAAGTAGGGTCCCCCCTTTCAAGACCTGCCCAGTCCATATGCTCCTTCCTCCACAGCTGGAGGGTGATGTTCCCACCCCCGACCTCAGGCCATCCTTAGGACCCGGCTTTGTCTCCTGCTTCCGGACACCCCCTCCCAGCAAACAGACTCCGCACCTAAACCAGCCCGAGATCTTGCCGAACAGATTAAACTTGGGTGGTTTGTATTCATCATCCTTGATGGACAGGGGTAACATCTTCTCCGCCCGGCGAAGGGCCGGGCCTCCTTTCCTCTAGATGTGACTCGGTGGGGTGGCGACAGTGGTCCCCCCAAATGCGGCCCCCCCCCCCCCAGTCGCTTGACTGCGGCCGCGCACCGCCGCCAGACAGACACACAGAGATACGGATGCACACCCGGGAACCCGAGGACTTCCGGCCCGGGCCGCGCAACGCGTCCTGGGACGGGAAAGCAGGGGGCGGGTCCGGGGGCGGGGCTTTTTGGAGAGGCGGGGCTTGCTGCTGGAGGAGGCGGGGCCGTGCAGGGCTGCGGAAAGCAGGGGCGCCCAGCCGGGTTTCCGGCTGAGCTGGGGTCCTGTCATCTGGACTGGGGAGGAAATCTGAGCTGGCGACCTGTAGACGGGACCGGCTGGGTGGTTGAGGGCCCGTTGTCACCCACCCGGGTGGCCCACCACCAACGTTCCCGGACGTTCGGATGCAGTGCAGCCCGCGCCTGCCCCTTCTCCATTAACCCCCTAAGGACCTGACATCCCTGGGGAGCCTTAGGCATCAGTGCTGAAGGACCCAGGCAGCCACGTGCTGCGCCGCCACTGCGCAGGATGTGCAAGGATGGCGTTGCGGGTCTATGGTGAGGGTGTCTACCGCACCCGAGGAAACGCGGGAGACGATCGTTGAGTGCCTTGCAAAAGAGACACTTAAAGGTATTTAAAAGAAGTTCTTTAGGAATAGAGCCATTGAGACTTTTTGCATTGCCTCCCCCGCAGTCTCTAACAGCTGCAGCCCCTCTGGCCTCCAGGTCACCCATGGGCAGCCGTGGCATCTGGTCCATTTCTGGGAAGTGCAGGCAAAAGTCGACCGAGTGGGACACCAGGGTGAGGACGCTGCGGACGAGCCTGGAGGAGGGACACACTCCTTTAAGCATCTCTTTTTTGGTGGGGGGGGGGAGTGTTGCATATACAAGGCCGGTCACGTGGATGATTAAAAGTTGTTACCTAGGAGAAGCAACGGGAGAAATGCTGGACTGGTTTTCGGAGGTGGGCTGGAAACTACAAAACCGAGCTTCTCGGGAATGCCTTTTTAGCCAACAGGAAGTGGAGCGTCAACCGAAAGGGAGGGAGAGGAGGCCACCTGGGGACTGTCCCCCGCTCCAGGCGCTCACTTTGCAGGCGGCAGGTTTTCCGGATTATCCGTAGAGGAGCAAAACTGGGCAGAAGCTCGCTTGCCGGGTTTAGGAAAGACAGAGAGAGAGAGAGAGAGAGAGAGAGAGAGAGAGAGAGAGAGAGAGAGAGAGAGAGAGAGGGAAAAAAAAAAAGGGGTGAGCCAACGAAACTCCCCTTCCGTTTTATGCTAACCAAGCTGCAAGCTAAACCCGCTGGTCCCACTGCAATCTTCTGCACTCGAGGTGAGGCGGTGGTAAAATGCGCTTTCATTGATTATTATTCTTATTGCATTGAGGATCTATGTATGTTTTACCCTCCTTCTTGAAACTTTGGGTGTAGGAGGGTTTTATTAGATAATTTGATTTTTGAAAACATATGTAATTTTTTTTAATGTTCGTCTTTTAAAAACTGCTGATAGGAACGATTAGATTCCACAAATTAAGTTCCCAGAAGAACATTTTTTTATTGTTGCCTTTCTTCGGTTGTATTTCATTATTTTTATTTTATTAAGCAAATATTTTCAGTTAGCAGCGTTTACCATTTGAAAGGAAGCTTTTATTTTTGCAGTAGTCTGAATTTTACCCTACTGCATTGCTGACTGGGGAAGCTTTAATTGGGTGCCGATTAGGTAGTTTAAGGGTAAATATTTCCATTGCAGTTGATTTTTTTTCCCTCTAAAACAGCTTTCTTTCAATATCATGATGGGGGTTACATAGAAATACTCAAATTTTAGCAACTGATTTCAAGGTCAGCTGTAGTTTGAGCCTAAGTGATTTATATTCTACCTTTGAAAGTAAATTCTGTATTGTATCATGTACTGCTGTAAATCAGAAATTACTTAGCTGGTTTAGGCACATTGCCTGTTATTGAATAGTTTTGAAATACATTAGAGAAATTGAAGTTTAATTTTAGCTATATCAGTTCCCAGAGACTCCCAGGTTTGTCCCCCTTTCTCCGCCCCCAGAATAGATCTTCTCCTGGGGGCTTTCTCTGTTCACAAATAGCGGTTTCACATCCTTAAGTCCTGACCAGCATAGTGGCCAAATTCAATGCTAAAGGCATGTTTGTTTGCAATATAAGTCTAGAAGGACACAATAGAAATCAGGAAAAGTTCTGGGGGTAGAAAATCTTCCACTATGCTCACCTCTTTTCCCATCTTGAAGTAGTATTTGTCCCATACATGTTACCCTATGTATATTGTCACGTCCAAGTTTGAGTCTTCATTCAGTCATCATTTAACAAGTATCTATGAGGCTCTGTATTGGGCAGTGGGACTATAAATCCAGACAAATCAAAGCTCCTTTCCTGGAAGAATTTTATGAAGAGAAGTTGATATGAAGAAGAGATGGAGGTAAAGAAAGATCAGTCAGGTGTTTTAGAACTGTGTGATGTTTCAGTTGTACACAACAGATGGACTTGTGGCTGTGAACAGGAGCCTCTCACTCAGTGAGTCTCCAGATGCCAACCTATTCCCTTTACTCCTGCAATAATTTTGTCATAAAAGACTATTTTGGAAAATAAAATTTAAAAAAAGATTCCTCAGCTCTATTTTGGTAGTCAGTATTTTGTAATTCCCCAGTGAGATGAGGTATCTGAGAAGCCTCCAGTCAACATTATTCACTTCTTCATGTGTTACAAGATTTTGTAAGGTTACAAATAATTAGTCATGAGCTTTCTTAAATTAATAAATATATTTCTATTGCAAACATTTACAGCTTTGTTTATGTCATCGGTTAGTCAAATTTTATTAACTGTGCATACTATATGGGGGAAAATATCTAGGTTGTTTAGACATGTGGTTGAAGACTGAGAAATGAAAGCAAGAGGGAATTAAGGGATAGAATTGCACGCCTCTCTGGTCTCGTTCCAGGTCCTTTCCAGCAACAGTCAGCAAGAATGAGAAGGATGCCATCTGTCATCCGCAGTAATCCACAGTGGCATTTATCTGCAACCCTGTTTTAGACCCATGGCTGATTAGATGCTTCAGACTGAATGTCCTGTGAACTGCTGACGAAAAAGAAATTGTAATAGTGACTAAGAGTATAGGTGCATATTAAGTCTAGGAATTGAATCGCAATGCAAACAGCATACATGGTCGTAAGCGTCACTTCACGACCTGTATGCTCTGGTTTCATTAGATAGCTGGGGTCGTTCCATTTATTCTGCTTCTGGATCCTCAGAAGAGATATAAAAAGTATCATGGTGTTGGCATCCACCAACAGGAAACCATTACCTACCTCATTACCTAAATGTAACTTTTAGAACACAGACTAGCAATTTTAATTTAATTTAAATTTAAAAGTAACTTGGACAATGGCACTAAGAGTTTTTTAAACATACTGCTGGCTGAAAAAAGCATCACAGAAAATTCTTTGGTTTCTCTTAACAGTGTCGAGAGCCTATTCCTACCAAGTTCTGAAGTCAGAAGGAATGTTTTTGTGAAAAATTAATAGCACAATGAGGTAAGTGACAGATTTTCTTTTTGATTTTTAAAAAATGTGGCAAAATAAAAAAATTATCATCTTAACAATTTTTACAGTTCAATGATGTCAAGTGTTTTTACATTGCTGTGTAACTAATCTCCAGAACTTTTTCACCTTGTAAAGCTGAAACTTTTAATGTTTAAAAAAAGCTGGCTGTATCCTCTTACCCCTAGACTTTGGCAAGCGGAAGTCTGTGTTCTGCTTCTGTGTGTTCCTGAATACCTCATGCAAGTGGAATTGTACAATATTTTTTTCTTTTTGTGTATGAGTTTATCTCACATAGTTTGCCCTAGTTGTTTCTGGTGCTGTGATAAAACGCCACAACCAAAAACAATTTAGGGTTTTTGATTACAACTCCGAGGTCACAGTCCACCACTGAGCGAAGCCAAGGCAGGAACTCAAAGTAGGAACCTGGAAGCAGGAGCTGAAGCAGAGTCCGTGGAGGAATGCTGCTTACTAGCTGACTTTCCCTGGCCTGCTCAAATACCCCTCTTATATTGCCCAGACCCACCTGCCCGGGGTTAGTATCACCCACAGGGGGCTGGGCCCTCCTACATCAATCAGCAATTAATTAATGCCCCACAGACATAACCACAGGCCAAAGCTAATGGAGGAAATTCATCAGTTGGGGGTCTTTCTCAGGTGACACTAGCTTGTGTCAAGTTGACAAAAAATAACCAGCACACGATTTAAGTTCCTTTTTGATGTGTAATGAAATTCCATTGTATGTATATACTACACTTCCACAAATGGATTGTTAATTCATCAGTGGACACTTGGATAACATTTTCTTTTTGGTTATTGTAAATAATGCTGTTGCGAGCGTGAGTGACATATCACTGTTTTTATCGGAAATTGATTTTATTTGTATTTTTTGTTTTGTTCCTTTAAAATTTTTAGACTGGATCTCATTATATAACTGTGGCTGACCTGGAACTTGCTATGTAGAGCAGGCTGACCTGCAACTCACAGAGATTTGCCTACCTCTGCCTCCCAATTAATTAAAGGCAGTACCACCACCCCAGCTTAATCCAAAGTTTTTACATAGGTGCTATTTTTTTGTGTGTTTTTGAGACTAGGTCTCCCTATAGCCTCAGCTAGCCCAGAACTTGCTATGTAGATGAGGCTAGTCTCCATCTCACAAAGGTTTGCCTGAGTGCTGGGATTAAAAGCGTACATCACCATTTCTGGTGGTTTTGCTTCCTTGAAAATAAAAGTTCTGCCAGGCATGGAAGCAGTCCCAGCTCTGGGGAGGTTGGGCCATGAGAACTGTGAATTTGAGGTCAGCTTAGGCCACATAATAAAGTCCTGTCTCAGGAAAAAGGGAAAGGAACAGTTCCGGCTGGAGCCAAGAAATACTATAAATGGATCCACTGAAATCACAGTCCAGATTATAGTGGGAAATCAAATCTTGTATTTTTTTTAACGTGTATGAGTGTTTGCCTATATGTATGTAAGTATACTGTGTATGCAAACCCATGAAGGCCAGAAGAGGGCATCCAATCCCTTAAAACAATTGTTAGTCTTTCAAGTAGGTTCTGGGTACCAAACTTGGGTCCTCTGGGAGAGCAGCCAGTGTTCTTAGCTGCTGAGCCCTCTCTCCAGGCCCAACTTGTGTTTTTTGTTTTGTTTTGTTTTGTTTTTGTTTTTGTTTTGTTTGAGGACAAAGGGGCGGCTAAGGACTGAGCCTATGACTTCACATTTGCTGAGCTTGTGCTCTGCTACTGAGCTACACCTCCAGCCCAATATCCATAAATTTAACATTCTTGTAGACTAGAATAAAGCTGAAAATAGAGCCCATGCCAATGACAGAAGATAATACAAGGGTGAGAGTCAGGAGTTGGGGTCTAACTCACCACTCTTTCCGTGGTTCAGGAAATTCTTTTCCTAGTCTGTCCCAAATCCCATCTACAAAATGGAGTGTATCTGTTTTATTTCCTTTCTGTCCAAAACTTTGGAACACTGTCAGTTGGAGCTGTTGTGTAAGCCTGAAGGGAGGAGAGCTCTGACAGCTTCCTTTCCTGTTGCTAAGCTAGGTGAGGACCCAAGCTATGTCTGCCTCCTTGTCCCACAGTGCCGGGCACATGCTGGAGCACCTCCAAATTGTTGACAGATAAAGCACCATAAATAGTTTGACCCTTCCCAGTTAATGTGAAAAAGCTCACATGAGTTGGTATTGCTTCTCTCTTAGGTTTGATATCTGAAAATACTTCTAAGCTGTAATACATATGTATAGAATCTATTCTCTTTGAGAAGTGACACTTTGGAAGAAATGGAAAACCAGTTTAAACTAAAAGGGAAAGAGTTCCGTAAGGCAGTCCAGGTTTTGTTGCCCAGCAATCTCGCCCCCATTCCTGATTTTCCTATTACTTAAACAGACAGAGGTTCAAATGAAAAGCTCCAATGTCCTGAAATGGCAAAAATAATATATTTACAGATGTACTTGATTTCTTTTTGACATAGTTCTCGAACTAAATTTGTATTACACTCTCCTGAGCTAAAAATGCTTTTCTATTTCTTGATTTCTTGGTATTCATTCATTCCTTGGATCCTTGCACAAGTCTTCAGTGTTTCTCCTGGGAATAAGATCACTCTTGCTCCTCCCCTAGCATGTGTCCATCGGACTGGACTTCTCCTATCATCATCATCTATAATCAACTGATAATTTTAGGGGAACTGTGCAAAGCCAGGAAGAACCTTCATCTCCCATTCATTCACACCTGAAAGTCAAGAGGACCTCATTGTGTTCCTCAGTGATAAATGGCTAGATTGAAGGAGGCAGGCTGTGCTTTAAAAACACTTTATGCATAATTTATGTGTTTTCCCCTAAATCAAGGATAATAAAGTAAACTGTAGTTAATTGGTAGTAGCTCCCTGAAGCCGTGTTGAGAATGAATATGATATTTTGAGGAGGAAACTGAAGATAGAGAAACAGAAATAGCAGTTTTGGTGTGGATAAAGGAGTGGGATTAGGAAGAGAAACAGACACAGGTGCCTAGTGATTGACACCTTGTTTTAAATGCTGCCTGTGTTGTTTATTCTAGCCTTATTTGTCCATAAAGAAATGGCTCACTCAACCTGGCTGCCGGCAGGAGAGGACTTGCATGTAATGTAATCAGTGTAGAGATAATTTTCTCACAGCTTGCCCTGTCGAATGACCTGTTACAGCATTCATCTAGTCAAATGTGATGGTATATGTATGGAGATTTTTGGGTTTGTTTTTGTGACTCTGTTTCAGAACTATAGCTTCAAAAGTGTAGTGAAGGCATGATTGGCTAGTCCTTCTAAATGACAGGGTTTTAAATGGCTGCATCAAGGATTATGTGTATCTCTGTGTATATAGCTAGTTACACTGTCAGTGGGTATTAACACAAAACTATTTAAGGTATTTTGATGTAGTTAGATTTGTGAAACAAGTAACAAAAGTTAAGAAGTTAAGAAGAATTTTGTAAAGGTAGATGTGCTCTATAGGGGAAAAAATTAGAGGAACTCATTTAGCAAGGAGAGCTGGCAGAAGATTAGAAGAGCTAGCTGATCATTCAAAAATAACTGAGAAGCATAGATTCCTGAATATGGGTAAAACTCTTAAAACTCTTGGAGCTCGAGAGATGGTTCAGCAGTTAAGACTATGCTGCTCTTGCAGAGGATCTGGGTTTTGTTTTCAGCACCCACGTGGCAGCTTGCAACCACCTATAACTCCAGTTCCCAGTTCCAGGAGATCCAACCCCCTCCTCTGGCCTCCACAGGCACCAAGCCCCCATGTAGTGCACTTGCATACATGCAGACAAACACTCACAAATATAAAAATTTTTTAATTTAAATCTTTTTTTAAAAAAATCCTAAAATACTAAAAAGCAATAAATTCTAGTTTATACTCCTTAAAATTTTAATGGGAAAAGCTTAGAATGGGGCAATAGTAAACTGAATTTTCCTAAAGCTGATCATCCTAAAGTCAATAGTTTTGCCACTTTTAGAGCCCAAACTAGATTTTCATAAATCAATGTATTAGTTACTTTTCTTCTTACTATGACAGAATAGCTGGGGGGAGGGGGGGAACCTTAGGGAAGAAGGATTTATTTTGATTCATGGTTTGAGAGGATGCAGTCCACTGTGGCAGGGAAGGCTTAGCAGCTGGCGTCACTATGTTGGTAGGAACATGCTGCAGATACTTGTTACATGGTGCTAGCTAGAAAACAGGTCTGCTAGACCCAGGTGAGGCTGTCCCCATAAGGCCTGTCCTCCAGAGACTCAATTTCTCTAGCTAGGCCCTTCCTCTTAAAGGTTTCACAACCTCCCAAAACAGCACCCCAAGCTGTAGACCCAATGTCAATCGTGTGAGCCTGTGGGAGGCAGTTCACATTCAAGCTGTAACAGTTAAGTAGGTAAGTAAGTTAAGTATGTCTTGTCTGTTCAAATTTTGTATGCTGCCTACCTGAGTAAGTCATATACCTTCTGGTTACTGTTACCTGCTAAACTTCTTCCTTGGGGAAATTCACAAAGATTATATTGTCCGACAAATGATGTTTATTTTTTTCTCCCAAGGCAAACCCCCAAGAGCTTTAGTATAAACAGGAATATTCAAACTTACTTCAGTGCAGAATAACTTCAGAAATATGTGAAAAAAATCAGAGATTTGATACCTCTTGATTTGTTAAGTGGCTTGGTCACATCTTGAATGTCTGCAAAAGGAAAGCCTGGTTCTCTCTTTTTTTTTTTTAATTTCTTATTGAATTTTTGTGTATTTCATCCAAAACATCTTATTCATCTTTATACCCCCTCCCCAAAAGCCCAGTTCGTAATTGACCTCTGGGTTCTACCTTGGAATGATTTTATCTCCTGGCTGAAGACCCTTTCCTGAGCATCTGTATTTGATACAGATATTTTTATGCGAGTACATACTCGGGTGGTAAAGATGGAAAAGCAGCCTGTTCGTCACTTCTCATCTCCAGATGGGTGATGATGATCCAGGTTGTTTTGTT